GCCATCTCTACCTTGTCTCGTCTGGCTCTGCCATTGTTTTTCTCCTCTGCCTTCCGTGAGACTTTATCTTCCCTTTCTTTGTTTTGGTCTTTTACTTTCTTCTCCCTTTTTTTTACTTTCATTTCTCTTTTTCTTTTTCTTTCATTTTCCCTTTTTCTTTTACTTTCATTTCTCCTTTTTCTTTTACTTTCATTTCTCCCTTTTCTTTCTTCTTTTTTCTTTTACTTTTCATTTTCCTTTTTCTTTTACTTTCATTTCTCTCTTTTTCTTTTACTTTCATTTCTCCTTTTTCTTTTACTTTCATTTCTCCCTTTTTCTTTTACTTTCATTCCCTTTCTTTTACTTTCATTTCTCCTTTTATTTTTCCTTCCTTTTTCTTTTACTTTCTTTTCTCCCTTTTTCTTTTACTTTCTTTTCTCCCTTTTTCTTTTACTTTCATTTCTCCCATTTCTTCCTCATCGATTTCCTTCCCCATCTTCACTCAAAGGAAGCAAAGGAAAGCGAGATAAAGAAAGGAAAGGACAGAGCGAAAGGGAGGCGAGGAGTGTTACCAGGGGAAGGTCCCGGATGTATACATGATTTCCCGCGCGAAGTCTGGCTATGAATTCCTTAACACGCTTAGAGTGTACTTGGGAATGGGCCGTCGCGACTATTGACTGTTGCTGTCTTTTGGTCTGTCTGTTTGTGTTTCTGCCTATCTGTTTGTTATATGTATGCTTCTGTCTCCGTCTGTCTGCTCTGTATGTATGATATGTTACTCTGTCTGCCTGTCTCTCTCTCTCTCTCTCTCTCCCTCTTCTCTCTCTCTCTCTCTCTCTCTCTATTCTCTCTCCTTTCCTCTCTTTCTCTCTCTCTCTTCTCTCTCTCTCCTCTCCCTCTCCCTCTCCCTCTTTTCTCCCTCTCCCTCTTCCCTCTCTTCTTTCTCTCTAATCTCTCTCCTCTCTCACCACCCCCTCTCCCTCCCCTTTCTACCCCTCTTTCCTATCACCTCCTCTCTCTCCCATCTCTCTCTCTTCTCTCTCTTCCCTCCTCTCTCTCTTTCTTTTTTCTCTATTCTCTCTCTTTTTCTTCCCTCTCAGCCCTCCTTCTGCTTTCACTCTCTCTTTCTCTCTCTCCCCCTCTCTCTTCTCTCTTCTCTCTCTCTCTTTCTCTCTCTCGCTTCTCTCTCCTCCCCTCTCCCTCCACCTTCCTTCCCTCCTTTCCTTCTTCCCTTCCTCTCCCTCCTTTCCTCTCCCCCTCCCCCTTTTCCTTCCCTCTCCCTCCTTCCCTCTCCCTTCTCCCCTTTCCTCCCCCTCCACCTTTCCTCTCCCCTCCACCTTTCCCTCTCCCCCTCCACCTCCTCCTTCCCTCCCTCCCTCCCTCCCTCTCATCCCCCTCCATCCCTCCTCTCTCCTCTCCTTCCCTCCCTTCCTTCCCTCCCTCCCTCCCCCCCTTCCCTGCCTCCCTCTCAATCATTCTTCCCTTCCCCTCCCGTCCCTCGTGCGCCCGCTTGACCTTGCGTAACCCGAGCCAAGCATTCCGATTCTGGTCAGAGCGACTTCGAACGCGGGGAGGAATGCTGATGGAGAGTCGAAAACAGAGTGACCTTTTCGAAGTCCTGTCTGCTGCTCCGGGGATGTCGAAATGGATGTGCAACAAGGAGGAGGAAATTTGGGGCTTCTCTTTCGGAGATGAACTGGGATTTTGGGGGGTTTTGGGTTCTGGTTGTTGTTATTGTTGTTTGTTGTGTGATATTTTGGTTGGTGTTATTTTTATTTTGTTATTGTTACTGTTATTATTATTGTTTTTTAAATTATTATTGCTTTTATTTTATTATTATTATTATTATATTATTATTATTATTATAATGATTATAATAATAATAATTATTATTATGATGATACTAAACAAAATAATGATAAAAATAAAGTGTGAATAGCGGTATTTCGAACATCTTATGAATTGCAGAGAATTATGTTTATTTCAATCTAATTTTAATACAATGGATAAGATGCAAATGGGAGATTACCATTTTTAATATTTTGATTCTTTAAGACGTGAACCACATAAGAAAATATTCCATTGCACGAAACACGTTTTTTCTTTTTTTTTCTTGAACGCGAGCACGATAAGCGCCATCAACGATCACAGCGCCATTTTCGTAACAGGTGTATTTTGGCGAGCAAACCCAACCAAGATTTATTGCTGTGGCTTGATGGGAAGCATCGACTTGCAAGAAAAAGACTTTTTCCCCGAAGACCTTCCCTCAATGCAACAATAACAGATTCGAGAAACCAAATTATCACAGGGAAGAAAGCAAAAGAAGAAGAAAAAAACCTTTGTCATGTTTCCGACTCGCCTAAAGCAACAAAGCTTTGTAGAGGTTGCCTGCCCCAAGAATGTCGTCGGGTCTTCCGCCAACATCCCGCTTTGATCTCGAGGGTTTAATGGAGATCGCAGACACGCCGTTGCGACGCAGGCGGGCTCCGGCGCGAGGGCGGCCGGGGGGGGGCGAGGGCGAGGGGAGGGGGGGGTTACGTAAGAATCTTTTGTTACTTTGGAATGGAAAGAGAAAAGGGATCTGAATACATGGGCAGATGATACATACAACTACGCGCACACACGCGCTGGCAGGTATACGCATACGCAAGCACACATACATGCTCACATATATGTACACACACACACACACACATGAAAACGCACACGTACACACGCACACACACACATGCACACGAACACTAACACACACATGCACACACACGCAATTGCACACATACACACGCGCACATACACCACACACACACACACACACACACACACATGCACACGCACACACAAATATATATACTCTATATAAAACACATACACCTGTGTGTGTGTGTGCGTGTGCGTGTGCGTGTGTTGTGTGTGCGTGTGTGTGTGTGTGTGTGTGTGTGTGTGTGTGTGTGTGTGTGTGTGTGTGTGTGTGTGTGTGTGTGTGTGTGTGTGTGTGTGTGTGTGTGTGTGTGTGTGTGTGCACGCGTGTATTCAGTTTATGTGTGCAAGCAGATGCCGATATGTGTGAGTGCACAGACAGTGTGTAGATGCACATATGCGTGAGCATGTATGCGTGCTGTGGCAAATTGGGAGATGGTCCTCATAGTTTACATGCTGTGGTTCCTGGGGAAATATTTCTGGAGGAAAACTATTTTTGTTCGTTCTGGAGGAAGCGCGCGTAAACGAGGACGAAAATAGGTTAATTCGGTGGTTCCCAGCCGGCCGTCGCAAAGGGAGAATTGGGGGTCTGAGGATTGAGAAAAGAAAAGAGAAAAAGGGAAAATATAAAAAAGAAAGAAAGAGAAAAAAAAAAAATCAGTAGGCTTCAATTTAAAGTGGATAATTACTCAACGATATTGCAGTCAAAATTCTATTATCAGATTTTCTGAATTTAAAAATGTATTTTAATTCGTTCACTTGCATACTCGGTTTCTTTTTCTTCGGTTCTTAGATGAAAATGGGTTTGAGTGTATTGTTAGTTGATGAACCTTTTAGAAATATGAGGTATGTGTAAAAAATAATAAAAACAAAATAAGTCCTTGTAAAAAGGTCAAGGACACACACACACACACACACACACACACACACACACACACACACACACACACACACACACACACACACACACACACACACACACACACACACACAACACACACACACACACACACACACACCTTATTTTCCCTTTCCCTCCCTCTCTCTTTCTCTTTCTCCTTCCCATTCTCTCCCTGTCCCTCTCCTTTTTCCTCCCTGTCCCAACTCCCCTTCCCCCTCTCCCTGTCCACCACACATATCCGCAAGCACAAAAGCAGAAGCCGAAAAGAAACCGAAGATTTAATTTAGCCTTAAAATAACCGCCAAAGACAATTCGCAGTTGTCAGCGACAGGTTCCGCGCGGAATCACCTTCGTTAATTATGGAAGAATATTTTTGTGTGTCAACCGTGTCAAGTGTTCAGCCAGGGTACGTTGACACTGCGCTCGAGATATGCCGGGAATGCGCATTGGCACTGCGGAAGGAAGGGTCTACAGACAGTCTTGTAGGAAGGGTATTCATATTTGGCGCTGGAGAGAGGCTGCCAAGAATGCGCGCGCAGAGAGGAGACAGTGTGTGATCTTGTACTCTTGGGATACGCTTATGGTTGCCGTGAACGTTGGGAATGCACTAGAAATGAAAGGACTTAATGAGTATCATGGCCATGCAGGGTATATATAAACAAGACCCGCGTGGCCTTCGAGAGTAATAGATTCAGCTCATGCACCTTTGATTATTATAAGTATATAGAAGGGTTGTCACGTATGTAGAGATCACACAGTAAGTAAACACACAGTTATCATGAGCCTAGAGAATACGCTTTCAACAAAATCTTCATTATGATAACGAATACACGGTATATAGACACACATGAACATGATAATAAGTTTTATAATGAACATGGAGAATACAAGAATAATTTTATCACGTATATAGTGAATGCAAAATGCTCGGCAAAATGATTAAGGTCAGATACAAATATGATGAACACAGAGAATGCACATTATGGGCATAAAAAGCATTGGGCAGCATGAAACCCATAATGCTGTCGATAATGCATGAAAATCCATATTTCCCACGCGAGAGCTTTTTTTAGAAATGTGATCGCGTAATCAATTATTGAAGGCCGGCGAGTTTGTACTGAACAAATTTAAATGGATGTGCATTATGATCATTCATTTATTTTTGGAATTATGGTTTGGGATAACTACATGCAAATATATACGCTAATATGGAGTTTATGTTTTATGTATAGTTTCGATTTTTACGTTATTGTGGATGCGGCGGAAATATTTCGAGATATAATTTTAATGACGATGCGTGTTGACTTGCAGCATGCTGTTTAAACACCTGGATATTAGATAATTGCATAGCTTTTGAATTTTGATACCCACATGTCTCCTGGTATTCAAAATCTCTAACATTTGTTTTCTTTTTCCTTCAGGACGTGACGTCATCAGCGGTATGGGAGCGGGTGAGCCACGCGTTTAGGTCACGTGGCGAGGACAGTGTATGACCCGACGCAGAAGTGCGCGAGCGTCGTGTGTGTGTGCTCACGGGCGAACAGAGCCTCAGCTATACTCTAACGGTGCTGGAAATGTTCACTGTTAATGGACTGTGACAGCCACGCCGTCGTAAATTTGAGCAGAAATTCCTGGAAAGAATAGTTTACATGTTGTGACGTGTGCCACGGCGAGAGAATTTATACGAGAGTCTGTGTTGGTTTATCTGGCCGGTCCTCGGGAGGGATCTTGAGGGCTGCTGTCCACCCGAACGAGTGATTTTCTACCTAGCAAAGTCAGGTGATTCGTCTTTCCATTATGCTAACGTGAAAGAAAATACGTTTAACATTGTCGTGTGTTGATTCATATAAAGATTACCTGCCTGTGAGAAAATAAGTACAAGGCCACGTAACAGACTTGGAATTATGTGGTTGAGAGTCCATGACGATAATAAGGAGAAATGCCAGAATCTTGAAGCATCTCGCATTGTACAAGGCTAGAGATAACTAGTTGGAAATGACAGCGTGTTTTTAACAGAGAAATAAAAATGTTCAATTCGCGTTCGCCTTAGGAATGTAGAATCCTTCTTAGACCCATCGAGAAAGTTTTGAAGTTGTTCTGGTTTTTCTCGTTGGAGTTTTCGTGCCATTATGGACGGGCATCAGAGCGGCACGAGTGGCACCTTCTCACGTCCGTGCTCTTGAACGTCCCGAATCAACACAGTTATCATGTTAGTTACGAAAGCTAAGGGCTACCACAAGCTGACAGTGTCGTCGGGCGTCAAAGCTAGAAATCTACGCTTCTTAGTGTCATAGTGAAAGAGAATAGATCGTCCTCTTTTTTTGTAACGAGTCCAGACCTTGATAGGAACCTTGCCTCGTGAGCGGGAAGTCTCCGCCGCCGCCGCCGCCGCCGCCATGGGCAACAACGAGACCGTCATGGGGCCGATCGTGACCACCGTCGCGACTTTGCTCTACAACCTCACCGACGACGACCCTTCTGCGGCGGCCGTCGCGGGCGCCGTCGGCCTCAACCTGTCGGCTACCGGCAGCTCCGCGACAAGCACGACTCGCGCCGCGACGACCACGCGTCCCACGAGAGCTACGACCGCCGCCTTGACCTCTGCCGCCACCACCGCGCCCTTCCTCACCACGGACCCGCCCCCGGCCTACGACATCCGGGACATCATCCGTCTGGGCGGCGTGGACTACGGCGAGTTCGGCGTCTGCAGCGACTGGCTGCCCATCAACCACATCTACTTCCAGCTCGCCAACATCTTCCTGTTCCTGTCGTACCTGGCGCCCAACGGCATCTACGGCATCCTCTACCTGCGCATCACGCTCACCATCGGGTGCATGTTCTTCGCGCTGTGGGGCTGGGTCATCCTGTGCGCCTTCGACACCTTCCTCTGGAACGCCATCTTCGTCCTGATCAACCTCGTCCACGTCATCGTCATCTGCTACTACCTGCGCCCCGTCAGGTTCACGCCCGAACTCGAACAGGTCAGTTCCGCCCCGCCGCCCGTTTCATCTCCC